TCTAATAGGGAAGTTTATAATTATAGGAAAAAATGGAGAGACATCAAATAGCATAATAATGTTGGAATAAATGAACAAGCTAAAACCAAAGACACGTCTAAAGAATAAGATCAGGGCAGGAATTAGTGAAAGGAAAGTTTTTAAAAAAAGCAAAACAAAAATAATACAAAGGCTCAATTAAACAAAGAATTAGTTCTTTGAAAAGGTAAACAAGATTGACAAACCTTTAGCCAAATTCACTAAAAGATAAGACCCCAAATTAATAAAATTATAGATGAAAAGGGAGATATTACAACAAATACCAATGAAATTCAGAAAATCATTAGGACATATGTTTTATTAAATTGAAAGGAAAAACCTAAAAGAGAGGAATCTTTAGACAAATATGATTTACTAAAATTAATGATTCATCAAGGCCCAGAGGGATTCACTGCTGATTTCTACTAGATCATTGAAGAAAAACTAACACTAATCCTTCTCAAACTATTTCAGAAGATCAAAAAGGAAGGAAAGCTACCAAACTCTTTTTTATAAAGCTGGTGTCAAAACCAGAAAAAGACCAAAAAATGAAAAAAAATTAAATATATTTACTAATTTTTATTTTCTATGTATGAGTGTATTGCCTGCATGTGTGTAAGTGCATCTGTGTCACGCAGTGCCCACAGAGGTCAGAAGAAAGCATATGATCCCTTGGAACTGGAGTCACAGATGGATGTTAGCCACCACATAGGTGCTGGGAACTGTACCTGGGTCCTCTGCAAGAGCAATCAGTGCTCCTAACCGCTGAGCCATCCCAAATTTAAAGACAATCTCCCTGATGAAAAAAGACATAAAAATTCTCAATAAAATACTTGTAAACGACTCAAGAATATATCCAAAAAAATCAATCACCATGATCAAGTGGCTTTGTTTCATAGATGCAAGGACAGTTAAAATCAATAAATGTAATAATATATCACATAAATGAACTCAAAGACAGAAATCATCTCATCATCTCAAAAGATGCAAAAAAGAATTTTTAAGGGGGAATTCTGACAAAATTCCATATCCCTTCATGATAAAAGCCCTGAAGACATTAGGAATAGAAAGAACACATCTCAACATAATCAAGTCTGTATATGACAAATTTATAGGCAATATTATACTAAACGGAGAAAACAAAGCATTTTTACTAATATGAGGAACAAGACTATTTCTACAGTGTTTTTCAACTTAGTGCTTGAAGACTTTGCTAGAGCAGTAAGACAAAGAAATACAAGGCATAGAAATAGGAAATGGAGAAGTCAAGCAATCCTTATTATCAAACGACATGATTTTGTGCATAAGAGACCTTAAAGACACCACCAGAAAACTCTTGTATCTGACACTTTCAGGAAAGTGGCAGAACAAAATTAGCATACAAAACCCAGTAGCCTTCCAATATTCTAATAACAAACATACTGAGGAAAAAAAAAAAAAAACAATCAGGAAAACAACTGCAATCACAATTGTCTAAAAATAGAAAAGAATCTTGGAATAAATTTAACAAAGGAAATGAAAGACCTCTACAATAAAAACTTTCAAACACTGAAGAAATAAATTAAAGAAAAACCTAGAAAATGGAAAGACCTCCCATATTCATGGATTAGTAGAATATTGTGAAAATGGCTACCATATCAAATAAAATCCAGAATCAGTGCAATACCCATGAAAATTCTAATGTCATTCTTCACATAAATAGAAAAAATCCATTAAAATTCATATGGAAGCACAAAAGACCCCAGATAGCCAAAACAATTCTAAGCAAAGAGAATAATGCTGGAGGTACCATTATATTTGATTTCAAGTTACACTACAGAGCTATAGCAGCAAAGCCAGCATGGTACTGACATGCAAACAGATATGTAGATCAATGGAATAAAATAGCAGACCCAGATATAATTCCATACAACTATAGCTACCTGATATTTGACAAAAATGCAAAAAAATATACATTGGTGAAAAGATAGATTTGTCAACAAATAGTGCTAAAAAAAAAAAAAAAAACCCCTTGGATATCGATGTTAGAAAAATGAAAACTAGATCTTTCTTACCCTGTATAAAAATCAACTCGGAACCCCTCCATCCTAAACAAACAAAAATCAACTCCAAATGGATCAAAGACATATTAGACCTGAAACTCTGAAACTATTTGTGGAAAACTTAAGAGAAAGCACTTCAAGATATAGACATAGGCAACCAGTCTTTGAATAGAATTCCAGTCACCAAGGAAATAATGCCAAGAACTGACAAAAGGAACCATGAAATTGAAACTCTGCATAGCAAAACAATTGAGTGAAGAGCCAGCTTACAGAATGTGAGAAAATCTTTGCTAGCTGTAATATCTGTCAGAGGATTAATATCTAGAATAAAAAAGAACTCAAAAAACTAAAGAAGAAATCAAACAACCCAATCAGTGGGCTAATGAAATTAATGAAAAGCTCTCAAAAGATGAAATACAAATGCCCAAAAAACATAATAAAATGTTTAACCTCACTAGACATCAGATAAATGCAGCTCAAAACTAATATTCTATCTCCCCAGTCACAATGGCAGTCATAAGAAGACAACTAATGGTAAATGTTGGTGAAGATGTGGACAGAAGGGAACCCTTATGCACTACTGGAGGGAATGTAAATTAGTCCAGCCACTATGGAAACCATTATGGAGAGTTCTCAAAAAACTAATAATAGATCTATCATGTGACTCAGCTATACCACTCCTGGACTCCAACTCAACGTATCACAGAACATTTGCATATCATTTGGCACTATTCACAATAGCAAAATTGTGGAACCAATGTAAATGTCCAACAATAGGAGATGGATAAAGAAAAGTTTTTATATATACATACATATATATATATATATATATATATGGAATTTTTTCAGCCATAAAGAAGAATGACGTTATTTTGTTTGCAGGAAGATAAATGCAACTGGGGTCATTCTTAGAAAGACAAATATTGTGTGTGTTATCTCAACTGTGACTCCTAGATTTTATACAGAAATATAAGATCGTGTATGCATAAATAACATGAAAGTAGAAATGAAACCATTTAGGGGAACAAAGGGGACTAATGGGAAGGGTAGGGGAGAAACGGATGATAAGGGGTTAAACTCAACAGACAATATATACTTGTATCAAAATGTCCTTATTAACACAGTACTGTACACAAAATAAAACTTTAAAAAAGAATGAGTAAATTGAATGTATTGTGTATCAAACATATATTTATATGCACTCAAAAATATGCATAGGCTATACACATTTAATTTTTTTACAGTTTGGGTACATAATTGAAATCATACTGTAAATAGTCATTAGAATCTTCTAAAAAGACTTTACCTATTAATTTTTAAAAAATATGTATGAGCTGGGCGTGGTGGCACATGCCTTTAATCCTAGCAATTGGGAGTCAGAGGCAGGTGGATCTACATAGTGAGTTCCAGGCCAGCTGGGGCTACAGGGAGACCCTGTCTCAAAAAGACCAGGAAAAAAAAAAAAAGTATATATGAGTGTTTTGCCTGCATGTATGTAAGTGGACCACTTGCATGCAATGCCTGTGGAGGTCAGAAAAGGGTGTTGGATCTCCTGAAACTGCAGTTACAGATGGCTGTTAGCCGCCATTTGGGTGCTGGGAACCAAACCTGGGTCCTCTGCAAGAGTAATCAGTGCTCTAAAGTGTTGAGCCATCTCTCCAGCCTCTTAAAAGAGGACTCTTAATGGCTACAACAAATTGTTTTTTATGACTATATCATAATTTACTTAGCTTAAATGTTATGTTTGGGCATGTATAAAATTTCCTTCATTAAAAGCTGGGCGTGGTGGTGCACACCTGTAATCCCAGCACTTGGGAGGCAGAGGCAGGCGGATCTCTGTGAGTTCAAGGCCAGCCTGGTCTACATAGTGAGTTCCAGGACATCTGGGGCTACAGGGAGACCTTGCTTCAAAAAGACAAAAAAACAAAACAAAACAACAAAACATTAAAAAACACATACTTATGCAGCGCATGGTGCACACACCTTTAATCCCAGTACTTGGAGGCAGAGACAGGCAGATCTCTGTGAGATCAATGCCAATCTGCTCTACATAATGAGTTCCAGGTCAGCTGGGGCCATGGGGAGACCGTGTCTCAGAAAACAAACAAACAAACAAGCAAAAAAAAGCACACATACTCAAATGAATGCTTATATCATCAAAAAAAGTATAAGACTATTCATAGCAGTCCTCCTGGTCCATAGGGAGAAGAAAAAAGGACAAATCATATTATTTGCAAGAAAAGGCATGGAAGTGGAGATAATCATGTTAAATCAAATAGCCCTTAGAAAGATAATCACTATGTATTTTCATATGCAGAATCTAGAGAAAAAATAATAAAGGTGACATGTAAATAGAAGGGAGACTATTCAGGACACATGACACACTCTCTGGCCTCTACATGTATGCACACACCTGCACACAGGCACATATACCTACATATACATAGATAAAAGAAAGGCACGGTGTGGGGTAAGATAGGGTAATACATGTGCATCAATATTCTATGATCAGTGGTGGAAATATTTTAAATTTAGAAATTGCTAACTTAGTTTACCATAGTATGAAATGCTCAGACATATAAGTTCTTAGTAGATCAAATGTCAAAAGATCATGAATGATTTGAAAGTTTCCAGGTCACTGGCTACTTTTAATGCTTTAAAATATGTTCCACTACTGATCATAGAATATTAAGGCACTGTTGGCTCTTAGTTGTTTATATTTTGAAAAAGAAATTATAATAAAAAGACAAATTGTTTTTCAAAAGGCATTTAAAAATTCAATCATCAGGGAAGTTGACTTCACCACAATGTTCTTCTCTTAAATGTAATACAAAAATTATGAAACAAAATTAATGGTTTTTAAAAATAATACAGCCTTCTTCTGGCCTCAGTGCAATATGGAAGCATTTCTTTATGTAGTGAACTAAAATACAATCCTACCTTTGTGAGGGCGTTTTGAACTCTTCTTTTCAAACAGTTTTTGTTTTGTTACACTTGTCACTAAAAGAGAAAAAAACACATTACTCCAGCCATACCACTTGGGCATATACCCAAAAGACTCTACACCTTACTATAGAAATATCTATTCATTGTGTCCATTGATGCCCTTTCATAATAGCCAAGAATCAGAAACAATCTAGATGTCCGTCAACTGATGGATAATGAAGGTGTGGTACATATGCACAATAGAGTATTATTCAGCTCTTTAAAAATGAAATTATGGGGCTGGAGAGAAGGCTCAGCAGCAGTTAAGAGCACTGACTGCTCTTGCAGAGGACACAGGTTCGATTCCCAGCACCCACATGGCGGCTACAAACCATCCTTAACTCCAGTTTGAGGGGAATCCGAAGCCCTCTTATGACCTCTGCAGCACTGCACAACATGGGTGCACTCGCATACATGCAGGCAATACACTCACAAACATAAAATAAAATAATAAAATATTTTAAAAAATTAAAATTAAAAAAATGAAATTATGAAATTTGCAGGTAAATGGATCAAACTGGAAACAAACATTCTGAAGGAGGTAACCCAGACCCAGAAAGACAAACATCACATATTCTTTCTCTTAGCTGGATGATAGCTTTGAAATCTTAGATATGCGTGGTTCAATTTGAAAATCCAAAGAGGTCAAAAAGTAATAAACTGCCATAGGTTTCAGGGAGGCTCACTGGGAAGGAGGTAGAATGCAATGATATAATTGGGAAAAAGGGAATAATAAAGTAGGAAGGGCTAAAGGGGGTGGGAATGGAAGGGCAGGGCAAAGGGAGGAGTTACAGGGACGGACAACTAACACCAAAGGCCTTTAGAAAAAGCCATATAGAAACCCACCATTACAGACACTACTTAAAGTATGTACATATACATTATAAAAGGAGATTAAGTTACCTTCTAACAAGGGGACAGTGTCCCTACTAGACACCATAGACTTGCAAAGTAAAAGTATGATGCCAGGATGGACTCCTTTTGAAGCTGTTGACCAGGCATTCCACAGATCCTCAAACAATACTGGCCATTGCCCTGCTCTTGGTAACTCAACAAACTTCATGGTAAAACCCTATTGCTGGGGGCCTAGAGAGATGGCTCAATGGTTAAGAGCACTGACTGCTCTTGCAGAGGACCCGGGTTCAATTCCCAGCACCCACATGGTGGCTACGAACCATCCTTAACTCCAGTTCCCGGGTATCCGAAGCCCTCTTCTGATCTCCACAGCATTGCATGACACGGGTGCACTCACATAGATGCAGGCAATAGACTTGTACACATAAAATAAAAATAATAAAGTATTTTAAAAAACTATTTTTAAAAAACCCTATTGCTGAAGACACTATATATATGAACTGTAGGACAAATAAGGAGAAATCAACTGGTACTAACTCCAAAGCCTAATCTCTATTGTCTTGCTTCCACAGTGGTGGAAGGTGCTATGCAAGCTACCTGAAGAGAAAATTTAGCATGAACTTTCCCCAGCTGTGAACCCTATGAGCTACAAGAATGGGCTTGGAAGATATGCCCACTAGTTCAGAAGCAATATGAATATTATAGGAGTAACTATTTTCAAATTATATTTAATGTCTGCTTAAAAGGATAGAGCCCATACCTGATATTGATATCAGGCCTAGAAGCCTGAGGCTGGACAGCTCACTGGCCATGGGAGAAAGCCTAATACAACTATTCTGCTAAACAGAGTATTAGACTGACTCCTAATGACTTATTGTTATATCCATAAATTAATGAATCTCTCAACTCTCACAAGAGAAGCTTCCTTATATAGAAGATGGTGATTAACACAGAGACCTACAACTGGCCAACATGCAGAGAATAAGAGGTTGCAGACTGCTTATCCCTCAATAGGACACCTATATTAAACGTCTGCCTCCCAAGACTCAGGGATCATTGCAGAAGAGGGGGTAGAAAGATTCTAAGAGCCAGAGAAAGTGAATGAGTATAAGGAAACAGTTTCCCAGACATCTATCCAATCAGTTACTCATATGAACTCACAGCAATGCTGATAGCATGGACAAGTCCAAGGTAAGTTAAAGGCAGACAAAATCCTGGCATAGACAGGGCAAAGTGAGTAAGAAACTTCAACTATCTGAGGAACAAGTGGCAACCAATGACTGATGGGAGGGGCAGATTCAGTCTCATGTAAGTGTGAGGCTCTTTATTTATTTATTTATTTTTATTTATTATTTTTATTTTATGTGTATGCATGTATTGCCTGCATGTAGGTAAGTGCACTAATGTGCAATGCCCGTGGAGGACAGAAGAGGCTGTCGGATCCCCTAGGACTGGATTTTTGGACAGTTGTTAGCTGCCATGTGGGTGCTGAGATTCGAACCTGGGTCTTCTGTAAGA